AAGCCTTCGTAAGCAAGAGGATGTGCCCCCAAATTCGACTTCCATATAGAATAGCAGGGCGTAATGAATGGGTGTATGGCCTATACAATGAGTTTCGCTGACCAGCCGATGTACAAGTCAGTGTTTTTATCCTCCCAGGCAAGTCTTAAACCAAACAGCAGACCCTAGAGGTATAGGAGGCTGAGATGGCCCAGGCGGTTATCGATTCCGGATTCAACCCGTGGCTATGCGTGTGTGATAGTGTGCTACTTGCCACCTTACCACCACTTCAACGACGCCGTTTATATACATATGGGCGATAGCTCAGATCATCTATTTTTTAGCTTTTTGGATCTTTCCAAATTTTTGACTTATTTTCAGGCCCAAATACTTCTACCTCTATTCATCTAGTCGGGGATTTTTGTTGATATTAGTGGTGAATGTTCTGAACGTCATCAACTGGTGTTCTCTTCTTTATTTTGCTATGTGGCCAACTGATAAAATTACAAACCATCTACGGTCAGCCATAATGGAAATGAGTGGAATTGATTTGAATACTACAGCATTTGCTGGTTTCTGTGTCAAGGTAAGTCAAGATCCCTTCATTTCACGCTCTGCTTACAATCGGAGTGAGCGGAAAATCGCCATATACTCTTCACAAATGGAGATCGCCGTAGTCAATGGGCGTCGCCACCGAAGAAAACAACAGTCATAAAAATTAAAAAAAATAATCAGTGTGGTTGAGCAACTTGTTCAGGTTACTCCTATGTAATGAGAATAAGAAGGCAATATCTCTTGGAGAGAAGGAATGAACCGTTGTTTTTAGCAGTATAGGAAGAGGTATAGAATTCATATAGGAAGAGGGAATGACAGGATCTTCTATGGTTAAACCCAAATCAGTTCATTGTGTAGGCCAAAAACGCTCAGAAGCCATTCACTCAAAATTTAAATAAGTGAGAGAATACCTAAAACGAGATGACGGATCAACGTCAGAAGACTTTTTTCCCCTTAACTTCTCGCAGGTTTCTGGGAAAGCTTTGCCAATTACTGACCTGAAGTGACAATACTTCAATTTTCTACAGTGAAGACGTTTCGGGGCGAAAGTCACATCCATTGGAGGAGAAAATGATCACGAATGGTTCTTTTCCATCTTATTGCTTTACATATATGAGCATAGGGTTTTGATTCTCACTTTCGTTCAAATTTCATCTTTGGGTACAAGCATTTGAAACAAATCGGATCATCGTGTAAGTGCTTCAATTATTTCATGAGGAAAATGACGTGATCTCTTCTAATTGGAACCTAACAGTAATGAGCTATGAAACATAAGAAGAAAGCTCTATCAGCGAGTGTCAATTACGTCATTTGTCTGGGAAAAAGCATCTGATTCACCTCGAGCAGTGCCGTTCCTAGCGTGCTGTCTTGATGGACACTCATTTGGGATACCCCCACGAGTTCAATTTCCAATGGGTATCGTAGCGGCATTCAAATGCGTTCCTGAACACATCTAGTACCCTTTTTCCCGAATCGTTGCCGTTTCTTGATAAACTATAAATCCAGATTGTGATTCAGGCAATTTGTACAACCGTGGACAACAATTTACTACTTACCCTAATCTTTCCATATGAGAAATAAAATATTAGAAAGTATTCTACACCGATGGAACGAAGGGGTGGCAATGGCTCACTTCACACATGCATGGTCACGGGGTCCGAGTCCAGGGATCCGCTCAGACCAACCAACCTTTACGCCCTCCTGAGTTGGTCGTTTGGTAATAGACTCGTCTGGGAAGATAAAAGCACTGACTTGTACATCGGTTGGCCGCGGCAAGTCATCGTGTAGGCCTCTTACGCATTCAATACAGTACTACGATTCTGAATAGAAGTCGAGTGCGGGGCGCATCCCTTGGACGGGATTGATTATTGTTCGACAGCTTTATTCAACTGACTTCATCTGCGGCGATGAGTGTTCTGATTGCAGCCACAGCTGGAATGGTTCCGTCTATTCATTATCATTGATTCGATGGTAACATTACCTTTGATGGCATCACTAGGTATCTACTGGGCGTTACAAATCAACAATACTCTGAAGAAATCGTCATTCAGCAATCAAACAAAAGTTATGCAACGTCGAATGAACAATTTGATGATATATCAGGTAAGCTGCCCTTCATAGAGGGCCATAGAGAGCTCGACCTCGATGTGGATATTAGGTTACCTCTTTTATTTTTGAAAATACTTCTGAAATAAGTTTTTTTCGTCTTTTTACAGACTGTCTGCCCTGTTCTCCTACTTCATTCACCGGCATTTGTGCAATATATTATAGTTTTTCTTGGCACTACCTCTGGCAGAGCTACTACTTATGTGTGCCAGACATTATGGACGGCATTTCCGGTGCTCAGTGCACTAATCACTCTTGTATTTTTCAAAGAATACCGTGCACTTTTTCTTAGCAATTTTTTTGTTAAAAAGATGTCTAGGATTGTGTCTGTAGATATGATGACTCGATCTACTAACTAATTGAAATTGACTATAATGAAGTCGATTTCACTAATGAGGACTTATTACCGCTAATGCACGCACAGCATATGTATTTGTGATGATTGTTGACTTTTCCTCCTTATATTCTGAGATAAAAAATTGAAAAATTGACAAGATCGTTCTTTTTTGAACATTTTTGACGGCAGTAAGTCTGGATCACTACATTTCTGTGATATGAGACTGTAACAGCAAACCTTAGAGGTGCTGACACCAGCTAGTCCCGTTTTGGGATAAACGCTAGTTGCTCCGCAGACACCTTTGTTTGTAGAAACGGATTTGAGATCAACTTTCCAGGCAGCGCATACAGCTTAACTCGAGAAATCACCGTATATCGGGTCGTTTATCTTGTGCTATCACCCTTCTGAGCTACCCTTCACTTACGGGGCTGGTCACCCATATGACTCGAAGATGGTTCCTCGAACGTGCCTTATTTATCCATAGAATTCCGAAACAGAGATCTGTTCTCTCACTTATATTTACGAAAATTGCTAACATAAGGTTGACGGAATGGGGATGGGGAACAATTAATTGCAATGCTTCTATTAGAAGCTATCGCTGACGTAAATAAGTGCCGGATATTAAGTGATGAAGCTCATTGCTCATAAACCATCGCCATCATCACTAACTGATCTGCCTCCATGCCCACTGACCTATCACTCGAATCAAATAGCTCATCCGTTTGCCCATAACGGTGCTGTTCAGCTCTCCGCGGACCATCTATCTTGATTTGTTTCTGATTTTTGAGCTCAGTTGTCTGTGATTTTCAGTTTTCTTCAGAATTTTCTATTCATCAATCCTATCCGAGTGACTCCAAACTGATACGACCCTGTTCAGTCTCTTATGTTTAGGTTTAAGGTATTGGTCGCAGTGATTCAATCTGTCTCCACGAACACTTATGTATCTATATATAAAGGCTAGTTTTTCCGTAGGAGAGTATCAAATAAAGCCAGACG